TTGGGAACCACTGGTGTAACTTCTCTAATATCCTTGTGTTAAAATACTTAATATGATTGTGCGTTTGGCTCGACTTTTACGAATACATTTTATTGCAACAGCATCTGAGCTACTGTTAATCAGCAAAAAAAAATCCAGAGATTCAATAATACCAAACTTAATGTCGATTTCCATCTAATCAGGAACTTTGTCGGCAGCACATGGCATCCAAATCCTCTCTGTGCCGCCAAGACTGCGTTGGAGGGGTAARCAGTGGCATGGCGGGGTCCGCCACAGCAACCGGCGCAGGTGGGCGAAGAGGCACGGACACGTCTCGGGTCAGCAGCGTCTCCTCGCAGTTCAGCGACGGCCCGCAGCACAGCCCATCCTCCACCCACAGCTCCACCCCATCCTGGAGCGAGGAGCCTGCCCAGTCTAACATGGACATCTCCACGGGTCACATGATACTGGTGAGTGGAAAAGCTATTTGCTGGTGCTGCAGAATTCATCCCGTTGAGCAAATGTTTACTTAGYCCCGCGCCTCCTCTCGCGCAGGCGTACATGGAGGACCACCTGCGCAACAAGGACCGTCTGCAGAAGGAGTGGGAGGCACTGTGCTCCTACCAGGCTGAACCCTGCTCTGTGGCGGTGGCTCAAGAGCCGGCCAACATGGATAAAAACAGACACGCCGAAGCACTTCCCTGTTAGTTCATCCACCTGTCACACTTTCTGGTCATTTCTGTCACTGCAAAGTGAACGCTGAAGTAAACAGAAAAGTAGCACTAAATGAAAACATTTATCTTTTTACCTAAACTTGATTTGTGTGTTGAAGAGCTGACAAACATTTACTGTAAGCATGATTTATTTTTCCAGATGATCATTCCCGTGTGAAGATGAAGACTGAAGTGAGCCCCAGTAAACAGGATTACATTAACGCCAGTTTTATTGTAAGAATTCACACATCAATGCGTTACAGTAATCAGACTCAATAGTTTTGTTTAGCTCAGTTATTTTATAGGCTTTACCTATGAAATCAACAATTCCCTTGGTGACTAAGGTAATTACTAAGGTAATAGTAGTTTGTTATATTAGRCTTATTTGTATTTGAGCTCTGCAGGACCACCTTTGCCCCCTCTGTCGTCTATTTTTATTCCTCACATAATGCATTTATTTAAACTTTGTTATAACACATATCTCAGCTGTCTGAACTTGTAGTCTGTGTGACTCAAATCTTCCTTTACCTTTTATTCTACAGTTTGATCATGACCCTCGTCAACCAGCTTACATTGCAACACAAGGCCCTCTGCCCCACACTGTTGTGGATTTCTGGCAGGTGCGTTCATATCCTTCCTTATACTTTATTTTATGTTTTTATGTATTTATTCATTTCCTTTAAAAAACAAAACAAAACAAAACACACTACATACAACAAAACAATGCAAATCAAATAAAATAAAAGGCAGCAGCAGAAGAAAAAAATCTTATTTCTGCTCCTATTCACAATTTTTTTTATTAATTTCAAACAATAATAAACCAAATAAAACAAAAATGAAAATTAAACCACTCAAACTGTAACTCATGCAAATACAAATTAAACAGTTTCATATATCTTTAACAATTTTGCTTTGATCATGTTTTTAAATGAATTAATTGATCCAATGCTTTTATAATCATTTTCCAGATTATTCCATAGTCTTGTACCCTTAAGGTATAAAACTATACTAAATGAATAACAAAATTGTCACCCTTTCTTTTAATAACCTCTTAATCAAACTCAGGATAAACCACAAAACTATTACTTTAAMGTTCAAGTTCACTTTATTTATATRGCGCCAAGTCAAAACATACRTTGTCTCAGGGCACTGTACATWAAAAGTACAATCTAAAGAAGAARAAAAAGTGACATTCAAACATCACGTTTGTGTTTTTATTTTATATTTTTAATATGCAGATGGTTTGGGAGAACGGATGCACAGTGATCGTGATGATGACGGCTCTGGTGGAGGACGGAGAGAAGCAGTGTGAACGCTACTGGCCTGATGAGGGCTCCTCGCTTTACCACATCTATGAGGTTTGTTACAACTACGCTGCAAACAACCCATTAAAGTGCATTTGAGCAGAAATACAATCATAGGTGATTACTAATGAAATTAAAATGTAAGACTTGATCATTTTAGGACAATGCTGCCATATCATTATTGAATATTCCAGTGTTGATATAATTCCAGATTCTCTTCATTCCCYTTGTTTTGTTCTGTCATCATATTTCCATCCCTCTCTGTGTGCTTCGTATTACTTTGGCTGTAAATTATGGCAATAGGGTTTGTTTTGCCATTACTGGCAGGCAGAGTGCGACTCTTGGAAAATAAAACACAACCATTTAATGCAGTTCAATGAGTCATTTGCAATATCAGTACTGGCTGCAAGAATATTATGATAATATTTTTTGATAGTGTTCAGCTCTATTAAAATGTGTTAAATTGCTGTTATAAATTATTTGTAATGAATAAATCAGTCAGCATAACAGTGGCTTCACCGATGGTTACAAATTCTTCTTTACAAAATTTCTCTGATTTTTTGCCTGCTGTTAGTTTCTGCTCTTTATTTACCAGTTTGCCTCTTCGTCTCGTTCAGGTGAACCTGGTGTCGGAGCACATCTGGTGTAAGGACTTCCTTGTGCGCAGCTTCTACCTGAAGAACGTCCAGACGCAGGAAACAAGAACCTTGACACAGTTTCACTTGCTGAGCTGGCCCGGCGACGGCATCCCCACGTCTACTCGTCCGCTGCTCGATTTCCGCAGGTACAAATATAAATAACCCACAAACGCTGAGGTTTTCTCTTTAGTAAGTAAGTAAAAGTAAGTAAGTAAGTAAGTAAGTAAGTAAGTAAGTAAGTAAAAGTAAGTAAGTAAGTAAGTAAGTAAGTAAGTAAGTAAGTAAGGTTTTATTTATAAAGCGCCTTTCACAGAAATATATTCACAAGGTGCTGTACAATCATTAACAATGTAAAATGGTGGATAGATACAATGAAACAATAAAACACAATAAAACATAAGCAAATTTTAATGGGCGTGGCCAAATGACTCGACAGCACCACCTAACGTGAGATAGAGGAACTGGTAAGTCCTAGACAGTTGACATTTGGGGCATTGGTAGATCTCCCCAAAACAAGAAAAAAAGTCTATTGGAGGTATGCCCTAAACCCAACAGGAAGTCGGCCATTTTGGGTAAAAGGTCAATTTTTGGCCGATTTTCAATTTCGCTCACGTCATACTTTTGCGACCTCCTAGGGATTTTGACCTATCGGTTTCAAAAGCGGTCAGTATGCTGTTAAGACATGGGGGATTAAAAGTTATCAAAACGGCGAGTTTTTGAGCATGTTAAGGGGGCGTGGCCAGGCCTCAAATATGACCTTCCCGCCAACATTTTCGAAACGCTGTAACTTTCACACAGAATGTCGGAATTAGACCAATCTCACTGTGAACCATCCCTGTGGGATGCCCAATGATACCATGTGGTCATATGCTGACATCATCGTAGCCCCTTTATGTGTGAAGATGCCACAAGATTCAGTTTTTATTTTCTCGAGATACGCGAATAATGAGAGATATTTAATTGATTTTTTTTCTGATTGCCATCTTCAAATCCATCTCTCCTGTTTGTTTTCATGTCCTCTTACTGCGTAAATCAACCTGGCATCCATGCTAATCARTTCATCCATTCTCCACCCATCATCTTGGCTCCCTCTCCCTCTCTCTCAGTGTGCAGGTTGATGGGTTTGTATTTTAACATCTCCCAGTGTCATTTTTGTGGTTTGCAGCTAGTACTCTGGCTCCAGTTGCATAGTCACAAAAATGAGCATTGGCAGGTGTAACTGGCTGCTGCAAGAGGGACAGTGAATCTGTGGCTTCTTCTCCACCTCCTCTGTCTCACACGTCATGTGACATTCAGGTTCTGCCTGTCCCGTCAGTGTCCCTCATTGCAGAACTAACTGCTTTTCTCTGTCCATTAACCCTTTTACATATTTCTGTTCCTCTTACCTGAGTTTGTTGTTGTTGCTTCTATTTTATTCCCAAACACTAAGTCTAATCAAAGCTTCTTAACCAGCTTCTAACCCTTTGTTTTATGGATTTAGTGATTTCTCTACGACAGAAGTTATTTTTGTACAKTTGGTACATGCTTAAATAAGGTTAGATGCTGGAAACTTTGTAGTAAATTAGTGCATAATAAAGCACTTATTCTTGTCCTTCCTTCTCTCTTTTTTGCTATCCTTTGGTTCTGCTCTTTAGGAAGGTGAATAAATGTTACAGAGGTCGATCCTGCCCCATCATCGTTCACTGCAGGTAAAATGCATACATGTATACAACATATCCATTTGGATATTTGGTTTCGAAGTTGTTCTTTATTTATTTTTATTTTTTTACTTGTCGTCTTCACAGTGATGGCACAAGCAGAACTGGCACATATATCCTCATTGACATGGTGCTGAACCGTATGGCTAAGGGTGAGTCACACTCAAACACACAGAAAATATATTTTATGACTAACCATTTGATGTCAAGGTTAAAATATTTGTAAGGAAACTTTAGATTAATGTATTGAAGTAATGTTGACTTATATCAATGATGTATATTGTGAACACTAGAGGGGGCTACGTTCATTATAATTCATAGACTTAAATACACTAGACTGAGTCCCGCCCATACCTACACTGGTAGTGTCTGTGACAGCATGGAGGAGCAAAAATGGTGTCCATAAAGGGCAACAGCTTACAGCCTCCATAGAAACTAATAGATAAACAGCAAGCTGAACCGGATCTGTTTCACCGATTATTGGTCATGTTTTACAATAAATTATTAATTATGTTAATTTCATTCAACAATCATGTAAAACACCAGATTTATACCAGAAAAATATATAATTTATAAGTAACAATGATCTAAACCAGACCTGAAGTCAGCCTGTAACTTAGACTTTAGCTAGTTGAAAAATGATGACTTCAGCTAGTAATAAAGAATATTCATTATTTCTTCTTACTGACATAAAAAATAAGAATAGTTATATTTACCAGTCAACAGTTAGAAAATGTTCTCTGGTTATAGGATGAAACTTGTCTCTATTAGCTAACCATCTTCTCAACAAGTCAGGTTCCTCTAACAGAAACCTAATAATACTCACATTTATAATATTATTTTACACCCTGTAGATCTAAATATTAATCAGAGGACAAAATAATATTTAATAGTTTGTGTTAAATTGTAGCATGATTCAACAGTGCCAAACTCTGTATATATGCTCCACAAGCTAATATCTGCTAACCAGTTCAATAAAAAAGTAAGTAAGCAAGTAAGTAAACTTTATTCCTATAGCACCTTTCACAGACACAAACATCACAAAGTGCTTCACAGAAAGCAAAAACTTTTTAAAAACAATAAAACAGATCACAGATATAAAAACAACAATTAAAACACAATAAAAAGCACTCAACTAAAAGCCCATCTGAATAAAAATGTCTTAAGATGTTTCTTAAAAGAGTCAGTAGAATCTGAGCAGCGAAGGGACAGAGGGAGAGCGTTCCAGAGCCTCGGGGCCACCACCTGAAAAGCTTTGTCTCCACGAGTTTTATAATGGGTTCAAGGGACCATCAGCAGAAAAAATGTATGACCCATACCTGCTGTCCTTAAGAACACAAATAATGCAGTAGTCAAGTAAAATATGAAAATAAATAACACAAATGTCATACAT